GCATACTTCAGTGGGTTACAGATAGCCATGAAGCGATCAAAGGCCATGGCTACCAGCACTGAAGACTCCAGGCAGGAGAAGGCATGCAGGAAGAACATTTGAATGAGGCAAGCTTTGAAGCTGATCTCCTGGGCATGAAACCAAAGGACACCGAGCACAGTGGGAAGGGTTGTGATGGTCAGACATAGATCAACAACTGAGAGCATGGAGAGGAAGTAGTACATGGGTTTGTGGAGATTCTGATCAATAATTGTGATGAGAAAGATCATGCTATTTCCCAAGAGGGCAATGATGTAGAGACAGCAGACAGGAATGGAGATCCAGACATGAGCACGTTCTAGCCCAGGGAACGCAGTAAGGAGAAAGTTTGAGGAGGAGGATGTGGTGTTATTGAAAATTAGCATGGTGGGTTGAGGACACACCCTGAAAAGAAAAATAAGAAGAAGAATATCTGTTAGAATGATCCCTTTTTCTTAAGTCCTAACTCTTTCGTAAACCCTTCTCAAATTACACAGTCATTTCTCTTTATTCAAAACCCCCAGTCTAATTACTGTACCTATCACATAATTCTACAGCTTCCTGGATTTTTCCTGTTAGAACCTGGCCCCATTCTCCTGCCTCTACTCTCTCTTGATTACAAACATCAGTCTCCCTAGACTCATCTCCATGCTATTGCTCAGACTAGCCCTGGGTTGAAGTAGAAAATGCTTACATGCTTAGGTCACACACATGTACACATATTAATACTAACAAAACAACAAAAGCCACAATTACAACCTGATGAGTCTTTGTATTAAATCTCCAAGTTTTATAAGTTGCTCCATAACTAACCGAGAAGCACATACAAATCAGTCTGGGTACCTATGATGACATATTCTTTTCCCCACTAGAATACTGACTCTTTCGAAAAACAACACATATGCTGTCCATCTTTATATTTTATCTAGAGACAAACATAATGATTGGCACATGGCAACTCAAATATTCTACATCAATACATTGATAAATGGTAGATGTGGTAGATGATAGAGAAATGGATAAAGAATACATGAATGAAGGTTGAGCCTGGAAGTATTGAAAGAAAAACCCAGGGAAAATTACTTCCCTAGACCCCATAAAAATAGGGATCATCCTCTCTCCCTAACTGGAAGAGGAAGGAGGGTAGAATAAGAGAAAAATAAAATAATTAAGATTCTTTGTGTAAGAAATACATTTGGCTAGCCACTTCATATATCATTTCATATAATCCCAGGGAAAATTCAAAGTAGATATTTTTCTCCTGTTTTAAAGAAAGAAAATGAACCCAGGAAGGTAAATAATATATCCAAGGTAAAATAGATATAAATTCAAAATTCAAAACCAGATTGACTGACTTCAAAGTCCATTATTTTTTATTACACTTCTGACTATCAGAGAGACAGGCTAATGAGACAGTATGGATAGTTGGACATTGTAATTTCCTTCTTTTGAAATATAAATTTTTAAATCACCTATTGTATATCTATGAGATACAGAGAAGGGATAGAGATGAGAAATAAGTAAAATAGAGAACTGTGTCCTCATGACTCATTGAAAGAAGAATGTTTATGGAGTTCAATGTGTTTACAAATATGTGTCAATGTCTGCATGTGTGTGTATTGTGTGTGTCTCCGTGTGCTGATTTATGCAGAGGGGAGTTTTGGTGTGGAAGAGTAAATGAGACAGAAGATGCCCACAAAGCAGATACTATTTATCTTCTGTTCTTTGAATGATATTTCACAAAGACCAAAAAAGTGACATGGGATAATGTGAGGGGGGTAGGAGGATAAGATACAGTGGCTCATCTTGCTACTGAAGAAATTTTTCTTGGAGAATAGAAGAAGCAGAAGCAAAGAGCTTTCTCTCTCTGAGCTCATACACTTTGAAGCCAGGCATAGGTCAAAGTTTAGTGCCTAAGTTCAGCAAGGTTTCTTCTGCATTGCCCACTAACCAGAGGAATAGGCTAGTGCTTTCTATCCTCAAGTACAAGTCTCCATGTGACCATCCAGGCATAAGGTAACATCTGCCCATTCATATACAAAAAGACCAGGTGAGATGACATAGATAACATCCAACTCAATGAAGTAGTGATCCAAAGGTCACCATAACTGTTTATTTGGCATCAATAATGATATATACTCATCCTTTTCATTACCAACCCCTAACTTCTGTTTATTTCTCAGCACTGAATTCTGTTTTCTCCCATGATTCAGAACCTGCCCTGACAGATCCAGGACATGTTAAAATGAAACTATCCTCCACTTATAAATCTTTGCACCACTTAATTTTTGGACCTTTCATTTGATTCTCAATAACGATGCACAGCTGAGATTGGTAATTTATATGCGTAAATATCATCCTTTTCTGCCAGGAGTGTGAGTTCCTTGAAAGTTTAGGTGTGCATGTTTTTCATCTCTCAATACTAGCTACTAAAGCAGGATCTACAACAGTAGAAAGCTCCATTTAATTAATTATGTTGATTGATTCCTGAGTAATTATGGCCAGAGAAAAAGAATTCTGAGCACTATCTCCTTTTGTCTTTCTCCCTTATTTTCCCTCCTGTACTTTGCTTCCTACTTCAATTTCTTCAAGTATCATTACATCTCTCCATTTCTTTATCACCACTTGTAGCTTCCATAAATCCATTGCATTGTTTTCCTCCCATCCTTTTCCTACCATTCCTCATTCTTTAATTCCTTCCCTTTGGTCTCTTCCCATATATTCACTCATCTTACCTGGTCACATCAGTGGGAAACACGACCAACTTCTCTTCAGCCCTATCCCAGAGCAGGAACTAAACCAGCTCCCAAGGGTGGGGGCTTTATAGGTAGCCTAATAGAGTTCCCAGGCAACAGGGCACTTTTCCTTGATTGGTAAGTGTACTGATTAGAGTAAGAGTGATGGGACCCATATTCACATGTTCCTCTACAGCAGCCAAGACACATCTCCCAGACACATCTTCAAACCACGCTCCCAGGCCCAAGCAAACCCCATCTATCAGTGGCTAGGAGCATAGCCCTGGCCCTGGGGGCTGACAGTAATGGGCATCTGCGCAAACTGCCTTCCTGGGTCAGATAACTGCAACCATTCCTCTTCCCCCAGCCTTAGGCTATAGATATTCAGCCACAGAGGCTCCCTGAATGTCAGAGCTGGATCAGGAGAGGGCAGAAAGAGTCATCCCTCTGCTTGCCATATGTTCTCTTTCTAACAGCTCTCATTATCCCCCTGGCCATTCCCATTATCTCCCTGGCCTCTTCTGACACAGAAGCACCCCTTAAAAGAAGCCTTCATATTTGAGTCATGTCTGCAGCCCACCTACCTTCTAAGCATAAGTCACCTAACATTTGACGAACACATAATATATGATAGAAACTGCACTATACCCTTCAGAGTATGTAGTAAATATGAATCAATCATCCTGCTCATGTTTAAAGTTCTCTTGCTTTTTATACTCTTGAAACATTTTCCCATCTATGTACTCACTATATCCATATGGGGCACACTGAGCAAAAGTGCTTATCTCAATGAGTATCTGGAAACCTTGAGTAACTCCATGAATTTACATATTAAGTAGTGCTCAAATTCATACGTAAACATCACTGCTTTCCCCTGGTTTCCGAGAGTTAAAATGAGTGACTCTGAAAATTTCAAATGAGATTTATGAATACTAAATGAGAACATAAAGGATAGGAAGCATGAAATCAATATTAATAAAGTACAGTTTTCATTCATTCAAAAATATATATTGAGTCTCTACCATATGTTCTAAACTATGTTAAATATGTGGGATACAATGTTAAATATGTGGGATACAATGAAGTGGAATGAAAGTGTCCCTGTTCTTAGGGATCATATAGAATAGCAGGGAAGATATTTGTTAGATAATCGCAGTACAATGTGAGAAACTGTGACATATTAAAAGGAAGATCAGAAAAGCCCTCTGGACAGAAGTGAGGTTGAAATGGGCATCTAAAACACACAAAGAATTTCTAATTTTTCCAACTCTCTGAATACACCATGCTCTCATATTTTGCACATGATATTTTTAAATATTTTTCTTTCTTGTTTTCAACCACTCACACATGCTCACCTCATATTTATAAAATCTATAACTAAACATAAAAATAAAGGCAAAATAAAATAAATGTCTTATGTTCTGCACCAAATACCTGAGTGACTATAATGGAGCAAGAACAATCTGGAAATATTTTTCATAAAACTTATTAAACAATGGCATACAATGGAAAACTACTCCACAATAAAAAAGAATAAACCACCAATACATGCAACAATATGAGTGAATCTCAATGCATTATATTAAGAAGCCAGCCAGACACAGAGGACTATATATTACTATTGCAATGTTCCATTTTCATGACACTTCTGAAAAAGATTACAAAGAAGGAGAACCACTAAGTGTTTGTGAGAGGCTGTGTATGAATAGACCAATTCACTACAAATGAACACCATTAACAAATTCGGAGGAGTGATAAAATTGTTCTATATTTTGGTTTCAATGGTGGTTACATGACTTTATGTATTTCTCAAAATTTATAGAACTATATACCAAAATGAGTGAATGTTATTGTGTATAAATGTTTAAAAACTTGTTATATACCATTTTGAAATATAAAAGTTCATATTTTTATCAAGCTGCAATAAATTATTGCTTTCATTGAAACCATTACGCAATGTCATCTCAAACCAATTGTATTTCTACTGTTCAATGCAGTAGCTAATAGCCACATATGACTATGGAAATTTGCATTTAAATTAACTAAAATTAAATAAATTTAAAATTTAGCTCCTCACTTGTACTAGCAATGTTTGAAGTGCTGAATAGCCATGTGTGGCTACCGGTTACTGTACTACACAGCAGAGATATGGAACATTTCCATTTCTGCAGGAATTTCTATAGAACAGTGCTGCATTTGATACTCTTCTCTGAGCTGATTACATTTGCACTGAAAGAGTAGATGCTGTTAAGGGCCAACCCTGCCCCGACAGAACACCTGGATGATGCGCCGCCGGATCTGCTTGGTCCTAACGCTGTACACAATGGGATTGAGCACAGGAGGGAGCAGCAGGTAGACGTTGGCCATGAATGTGTGTATTAGTGGTGACAGATGCTTCCCATAGCGATGAACCAGGGTCATGCCAATGAGAGGCACATAGAAAAGCAGCACTGCACAGATATGAGAGAGACAGGTGTGGATAGCCTTGAGCCTCTCTTCCTGGGAAGCTATGCCCAATACTGCCTGGAGGATTAGAATATAAGACACCAAGAGGATTAAGGCATCTAATACAATGGTGAAGATCACAGCCAGCAGGCCATAGAGGTTATTGACACGTGTGTCAGCACAGGCAAGCCTCATGGCATCCTGATGGAGGCAGTATGCATGGGAGAGGACATTGGAGTTGCAGAAAGGTAGCCTTTTGATGAGGAAAGGCACAGGGAGCACAGCCCACACGCTCCGCAACAGGACTGCTGCTCCAATTTTGCCAATGACACCATGAGTAAGAATGGTGGCATAGTGCAAAGGAAAGCGGATGGCCACAAAGCGATCAAAGGCCATGGCCACCAGAACACCTGATTCCACTACCCCAAAGGTGTGGATGAAGAACATCTGGGTGATACAGGCATTAAAAGTTACTGAACGCCAGCTGAACCAGTGAACACTGACCATGGTGGGCATGGAAGATAGTGAAAGGCTAAGGTCAGTAGCAGCTAACATGGCCAGAAAATAATACATGGGCTCGTGGAGACTTCGCTCAACTTTGATCACAGCAAGGATGGTGACATTGCCCAGGAATGTGGTGCTGTACAGAAGACAAAGGGGCAAGGCCATCCACAAGTCCTTCTCTGGCATTCCTGGAATCCCAGTCAGGGTGAAGAAGGTCTGGTGGTTATCAGCAGTTTGGTTGAACAGTGACATAGTGGAACAGTGGTTGACTAGACAAAAAGAGAAGAGCTCATTAAGTCAAACATCCTTCAATGGAATCAGTGACAATAAGTATTTAGATGATACTTATTGTATGTGATAATAAGTAGCCAGAAGAGAGAATAATTAAACTATTATTCTAACACATCCATGTTCACAGCTTGATACATAGACTAATTGATATGCCCCATGATGCAAGAATTCTGTTACTGATCATAGAATGCTAAAATACTTATGAGAAAGGAAAAAGAAAAAAAAAAAAAACACACAAAAAAACTTCAATTAGCATTTGCCCCCAAGAAGGATATAAATCATTTGAAAACATCAAGGAGTTAGCTGTCTTTCAGACTGCAATAATAAGGAAAAATTTGGCATTGTGCAGACTGTTACATAATAAATACATGTTACTTTAAGCCACTAAGTTTGTGGTAATTCCTTATAGCAGTAGTAGTAAATGAATACCTGGGAACCAAAGTAGAGTTGCTTTAGTACCTTTTCTGGAACATTCCAAGTCTTCCTATTACTGGTCTCAATTACTCAGTACCTGTCAAAAAGACAATTTTTTTTTATTGCAATTAGATTTCTTTGTCCTAAGGTACATCTGGAAAGAGATTCTGAGATCGATTTTTCTCTTCCTTAGGGATTAGAATAACCTCTTAATATTGCAAGTTTTGCAGTTAACAGCTGGTTCAGCTAGGTGAAATTCATTCATAAAGAGTTTCCAAAAAGAGAGATTCAAGCATTGTTCAGATTAGTAAAGTCAGCACCTGTAGTGTTGAAAACTCATCTGGACTTCTTTCTCCGTCCCTCCATAGAGACCCTCATTCTCTTTATTCCATGCTACTATACGGCTGCTCTAATAAGCTCCATCTTGAGTTGGCAACAACTACATTTCTCACTATAGCTCTAAGTAAGGCCTGTGTAGATCTATGGGCTATTCTAGACATTCATCCCCATTGCTTACAGTGACAAAGATCAAAATTAAAATCTTAGTACCACACAATCTATTCTCTTCCATTTCAATTTTGTGCTATTGTCTTTAAGAATATATATTCAAATGTGCATCTAAGACAATCACCTTTTTAGGTCAGTCTAGCCACAGCTGACAGAGGGTTCAGTATTAAAAGAAAGAGCAGTGCCGTAGTGGCACTTAACCTTGTTTTTATCATGACCCTTCAGAAAACCTCATAAAAGGTCTACCAGGTAAGAATGTGCACAGACACACACACACAAATACACACACACACAAAAAATTTTGCACAAATATTAAGTGAATTTACATTTTGTTGAAAACCATCATGGACCCAAGTTAAGAACTCAGACTTAAAGGATTAAAAAAAAAAACATGAAATAGGAACCTGGATCACAGAAAGGAAAAAAGCCACTAGATAAAATTCAGAGCAGACACAAAAGACAGAATGAATGCTTGACAGTGAATGGAGACAGAAAAGAGTCATCCCAAACTTCTTGGGAATCAGTAGTTTAGTGCTGCATTGTCCAACATGGTAGAAACTAGACACATGTCCTCATTAAATTTAAACGAATTAAATTAAAATTTCACCTTAGTTGTACTAGATATATTTTAAGTGTTCAATAGCCACATTATGGCTAGTGGCTACTGTATTAGAATTATTGAGTACAAATGTAGAATATTTTTCTCACTGAAGAAAATTCTATTAAAACTTGAAAAGTCAGGGCTGCAGACTGCCATGTTAAAGGATAGCAACATCCTAGCTGACCTCTTGACAAATATTTGGTCCAGTTAGATATGAGGGTCTGTCACTTATATACTGTATAACCTCTGTCTCTCTTTATCTATATCTCTTTCTTTGTCTCTGTTTTGAAAATTTGAAAAGGAAAATAGCTTTAAAACTAAAGACCCTGGAGAGAGACCGGTTGAGTTTGAATCCTGGCTGTATGACCTTGAACAGGTTACTTAATAATCTCTGTGCTCACCCCTCACCTCTTTACAATGAAAATGAAAATAATAGTATCTACCATGGGGTTGTTAAGAGTATTCATTAGGAATATGGATAGGACACTTAGATAAGCATCAGGGAATAATAAACACCACTAATGTTTAGCTATATTCAATGTTCATCCATTATCCATAACTTTAGTAATGTTTGTTTAAGTATAAACATTATCTCTCAAAATATTTATGTTCTGAAATCTATTTATATGTTGTTAAATTTATGTACAAACCTATCCACATATTATGTTCATATTTCCATCAAATTCTGTATTGCTAATATCTCTCCATCCCTCAGCCAATTTATCCCAACACTAAAATCTATGTCTTGCAAGTGGTGGGTATTGCAAGGGTCAAGATGTTGGCTTCTGTAGATCTGTCTCAGTGACTTTGCACTTAACCATTACTGCTTACTGTAAAAAATTTAGAGGAAGTAAGTCCTGGATAAATCAGAAATTCAAGGATGGTACATGAGTAGGAGTCAAAGGTAGTAAAAACATCAATAATAACAAGAGAACAAAAAGGAAAATTTATTCAGAAGAACTAGCAACCACAAAAGAAACACTGTGCTGGCAATCTATGGAGCTTAATCCCAAAACCAGTGGCACTCTTCCAGGATTTAGAATGAAAAGGCCATTTGATTTGTCTCATGTGGGAGCCTAGGATTGAGCTCTCACTTGGGCAAGGAACGTATTTGTCATTGGACTTGATTTGGGACTTAGGAGGAAAGAGCAACAATCTGCAAGGCTCTTGTTTCACTAATTAGCCTTTGGCAAAATAAGGTACTCCTCTTTCCACTTAATTCCCAGATCTACAGTTAGAAGAGTTATTTCTATTTTAATGAAAAAAGAGACAGAAATGAAAAAAAATGCTTCCTGAGCACTGTGGTCATTCTGGGCTCTTTATAAATATGTAGAAAGCACAAGCAATAAACTTATATGATAAACAATGGAAAAATAATGGATAAAAATATTAAAATTATGTACTCCTTTAAGTACAAAAATATCTAATATTTATTGATTGCTTATTTTTGTTCCAGGCTTTCTTCTTAGCCTTTTACATATCCTATCTCATTTAACAATACAAAAAGCCTACGGGAAAGGGACTATTATTATTGCTGCTGCACGCAATAGGAAAACAAAGATGAGAGAAGTTAATTAATTTGACCCAAATCTCAAAACTAAAAGTTAAATCCAGGTACTCTGATCATTGTGCTTTGAAGTTCTGTTTTGTTGTAAAGAAGAGGATCAACTTTTAGGGGTAATTTTTCCCATTAAATTCAAATTCCAGACAAAACAGTGGACTGAGCTCAGCCAGGACTTCCCTAACTCCCACCCCTCAATTCTGACCTTTATATTTTTCTATGAACTGTCCATACTGCAGTCCCTTCCATTCTGTGACAGTACCCTCAAAGAAGCACTTCAGATTTCTCTCCAACTCACCCAAAGCCTGGTCTGGGAAACTCGTGTTTTTTCTAATGCTCACAGTCACAGTAGCACAGAGACTTAAAAGCAGTAAAGTTAGGGCAGATCCCAGTTTCCTTTGGAGTGATCCTATGGAAACATGAGAGGCTGACTTCCTGGAGATGCCTCTCGGGCCAAAGTCCAGACAGACTCCAGCTTCTGAGCAAGTCTTCTTTGTCGTGGTCTCAGAGGACCTGGTTTTCCCCAGTGCAAGCCTGTGACAGTAACCCATGCAAACAGAACTAATCCTGGGTCCTATATGCATGCTGCATCACTAGTTATATCAACATACAATTATACTCTATGGCTTAATGTTTAAAATTCTCTCTTTAAAAAAGTTAAAAGAATAGTTTGCCTTTGTTTCATGTGTCTTTTAGTTATTGCTCATGCTTTTAATTCTTTTTCACAGCAAAGACTTTCAACATTGTATTCCAGATGTCGTCAGTGGCTTGCTTATTGTAAACTCAGAGACCATTCTTCAACTTACTCTCCTTTTCAGCAGGATTCAATACAGTGCAAAATTATAACGTAGAATTACTTTCTTTTCTTGGTTTCTGCAAAACTGTTTGTTTGATATTTCCTCCTACTTCAATTTCCACTTCTCAATATCCGGTGTTGATTTATCTTCTCACTAGATCACAAAATGTTGGTGAATCTTTTATTTGGTCTTATCCCCTATACTTTAATTTAACTCCACTCTCTCAATGAGTAATATTTTAAGTATTACTATAAAAAAAGCTTTTAATAAACCTTTAAATATCATTTATATGCTTATTACCTGTAAATATATATTTTCAGGCCAGAATTCTGCTTAAATCTCCCTATCAGCTTCTTATTTGGTAACTCCACTTGGATATCAAATATATTTATCAGGTTTCGGTCAGGTGGGAGGGGGAGAAGGGGATGGGTATATAACACAATGAGTGAGATGTGCAACGTTTGGAGGATGGACACACTTGAGGCTCTTACTCGAGGGTGGGGAGCATGGGCAATATACGTAAGCTTAGCACTTGTACCCCCATAATAGGATAAAATAAAATAAAATCTCAAATTTAACATGGAAAATACTGTAAAACAAAAAAACCTGTTTCTTCCTATGTGCTTATATATAATTTCAATAAATCACAATAGATACCACAATCCTCCTAGGTGCCCAAACCAAAATTCAGGTCTTGCCCTCTTTCTCAAAATCTAACCCATCACCATTGTACCATTCATTGTAACATTTTAATTCCTGTATTAATACTTCATTAGCTATATTTTGAGTTATTTTCTTAATAATTATCCTAAAATATATAAAATGCATCTTTAACTTCTTACTTTACACTTCCCAGTAAAATATTACAAATTTTCTACCGCATATATCCATTTTCTCCAATCCTTTATGAAATCATTTTATACCTATTGTGTTACACATCATAAACCAAATAATTCATTGTTTACTTAAACAACTTGTGTTTTTAAATAAACTAAAAACATAATATTATTTACATAAGTGATCTTTTTTATTACCTATACATTTGTCATTTTCAATGCTGTTTATTTCTTCTTTGGATTCA